CATTATGTTTCCTGTTTTATTTTGAAGAGGTCCCGTGTTCCTGTGTTCAATGTATTCAGCTTTATGTTTCCCCTGTGATGTCGTTATGTTCATGTGTGTCAGCTGTTTCCCCCTGTGTTCCCACTCCCCTCATTAGCCTCCTGTGTGTATTTATGTTTTCTCACTCAGTCTTTGTCAGGTCATCTGTTGTTTCACCGTGTTTGCAGGTCTGTTACTATCAGGGTTTTTCATGTTGTATTTTAGGTTCATGTTTAGTTTTGCATTAGTTTGTCTTTGCCTGTTGTTGTGTCTTTTTATCAGCCTTATCAAACGGCTCGCCTTTTGTTAATATTCAAGTTTTGTTCCAAGTTCGTTCATGTCTGCACTTTGGGTCCACTCTTCACAACACATACACATGCATCAGCAAGACTGTGACACTGAGGCTACTATGTGCAAACATTCAAAATTGATAGAAAATTGAAAACATGTTGTCTATTCTTAATTTCTTCTACAGCGTTTGGATGGCAGGGTCAGAATTTGGTGCACATCCTGCCTTTTATCAACAGTTCAGACTGCTGATGGTGTAGTTGTGTACGAGGTAGTTTCTTGAAACACTTTGGGCCCATTAGTACAGCTTGAGCACTGATTAAACACAAACAGCCGACCCAAGTGCTGCTGCCCGTCTTCAGATGGCTTCTTTCAGCAGAGTAATTCACCAGATCATCTCAAAGTGGTTCCTGGACATGACAGTGAATTCACTCAAAGGGTCTTTACATTCACCACATCCCAATCTAATAATTAAGTTCAGTTCAGTTTTGTTTGTGTAGCATGTTATCACAAAAACAGTTACCTCAAGGCCCTTCTTACTATAAGTTAAAGCGCCTACAAAAATAGAGCACTTGTGGTGGTAAACAGGAGATCTGTGTCATGGATGTGCAGCGGACAAATCTGCAGCGACTGTGTGATGCTGCGATGTCATCGTGGACCAAAATCTCTTTCCAGCACCTCGTCTAATCGGTGATGTGAAGAATTCAGGCAGTTTTCAAGGCAAAGTTGGTTCAAGCCATTACTAGCAATGTGTACCCAATAAAGTGGCTGGTGAGTGTTTGCTAGTATTTATTGAAATGAGTCAGAGAGTAATAGATAAAGTTATCTTTTTCATTTAGCACATAACTTGATAGCTATACAGTGCATAGTTTGTGTAATTAATTTGTAATAGGCTTACAGATTTTGATGAAGAGAACCTTTCTGAGTCATTGTTTAACATGTTGCAGGCATGAACTTTGAATCCCAGGTTTAGAGTTCAACTGAAATCATAAAACTTCAACTTTTCTGGGTAACTGCACCGTCTGTTGTGTTCTAGGGTTTATTACAACCCATTCTTACAAAAAAGGAGTTCGTTTTTAACCACAAGCCTCATTTATAAAGACTTTTTTTTTTTTTCAGCCCAAGTTATATATATTTAGTGTTCCTATCACCTATATTATCTGTTTCAGATCCTTCCTGGGCCTGAATGGGTTAGCTTTCCTAGCTTTGCGCCCATGGAAACACATCTTAATTGTGACAGTAAGTCATTGACCCATGGGAAATGTTTGAAGTTTGGACCCAATGTGGAGGTATGTTACACCTGCATTCTTTTTAAAGGCCAGCAGGTGGCAGTAAGTGCTGTTGTCTGGTTCTATAGAAGTCTTTGAAAGTGAGAGTTTTACCTTTGCAGTAGATTTCCCCATCCTTATCAGCTAGTGTGGTTGATTCAAGGCTCTTCCCACAAGTGGCGCATGTAAAGCATCCAGACTTATGCCATGCCTGTAAACATATACAAGCCTCGTTTTAAAGTAGTTGTGTTTTTTCTTGCATGCACTCATATATGCTTGTGTTTTGCTTACACTCCCAGCTCCCATCACTTTCTCAGCAGCGTAGACAGACTTGCCACAGCGAGGGCATTTGTCTGATCCTCCAAACTTCTGAGCTAGCTTGGAGGGGTTTGGGTTGGTGGTAGGACGATGGGGACCGGGTCTGATGGGTAAAGAAGGCAACAAAATGTGGATAAGGAGCCTTAAAACCATCAAAAAGTATGCTTGCCTGTGTGTTACTCACTCTTCAGGTTTAATTCCCAGGGACTCTCCTTTGTCCATGCTGAGGGTTCCTGCTCCTTGGCCATAACCATAGCCTTTTGGCCCATATTTCTTACCATAGCACGCCTTGCAGTAGACTTCATCCATATGAACAGCAACAGTTGTGCTGTCCAAATTCTTCCCACACACCACTGTACAAAGAGACATTATTATTGTTTTGCATACCTTTGTACTTTTGGTTGAGTACGTTCATG